GTCTCGAAAGAAGGAGCGGGAAGCCCCCGAGTCAAGGGTAAAGGTGTGAGAGGCCGGAGCCGACGCGGTACCTGAGAGAGCAGACTCACCCGTACCTGAGGAAGCAGACTCAGTAGCACCTAGAGCAGCAGCCGCACCTGTACCTGGAGCAGGAGACACACTAGCACCCAGAGCAGCAGCCTCACCAGCAGCTAGAGCAGCAGGCTCTATACCCGGGTCAGGCGGTACGCACAGGTGACCGGCACGGTCAGCACTAGTAGACAATGCATACATGGCAGTGAGAATAGCATCATAGTCAAGAGCAAATATATCTACCCTCTCCCTAAGCAACTCCACCCAGTCGGGGAGCTCAGCCTCGTCGCCAAACTCGGTACGCCAGGCGTCGCTCAGACGGGCGAAGCAGCGGGACGGTGTGTGACTAGGCGTCCTACAAGGCTGACCAGTCCGAGCACCAGTGCGAATCACGTAAGAGCAGGGAACAGAACTGAGAGACCCTCTACTGTGAGCGTACCACTCACGAAGCTGCTGGGGCGTGAGAGACGCTCGTGGTGGTCGCTGGAGCTGCATCTGGCCACCGCCAGTGGTAGTAGCAGTAGTAGCGCCACCACCCCTACAACCCCAACCAGCGTACCACTCACGCAGCTGCTGGGGCGTGAGGGACCCACGCGGACGTCGCTGGGGCTGCATCTGGCTCCGCCAGTAGAAGCAGGAGCAGGAGTAGCAGCAGTAAGGCAGGCAGCCAAGCAAGCGGCAGGCAGCGCGCTAGTAAGGCAGAGGCTCACCTGTGGTGGGAAGAGCAGGCTCCATGACTCGGCGACTCGGCGACTCGGCGGTGCGGGTGGCTCGAGCGGCTCGGCGGCACGGCGGCACTGTAGTAACTGCGGCTCGGCGGCTCGGGCGACTCGGGCGGCTCGGCGGCTCGGGCGACTCGGGCGGCTCGGCGGCTCGGGCGGCTCAGCGGTAGTGCGGCTCGGCAGCATTTGCAGCTCGGCGTCTCGGCGACCCGGCGGCTCGGGCGGCTGAGGTGGCGCTGCGGGTGGCTCGGCACTAGCTCGGCGGCGCCGGCGGCTCGGTGGTGACGGCGGGGCCGCTTGGGGACGGCGGCGGGGCCGGGTGGAGCGGCGACGGGGCCAACTGGGGCCGCAGGGTAGGCGACCGTGCCAGCAGAGGCGGCGCCGGGGCCGGGAAGGGCGGCGCCGGGGCCGGGGAGGTATGCGACGGGGCCGGGAAGGGCGGCGTCGGGGCAGGGAAGGGCGGCGTCGGGGCCAGCAGAGGTGGCGCCGGGGCCGGGAAGGGCAGCGTCGGGGCCGCAGGGGTAGGCGACGGGGCCAGCAGAGGCGGGGCCGGGTCGGGAAGAGCAGCGTCGGGGTCGCCGGGGTAGGCGACGGGGCCAGCCGAGGTGGCGCCGATGCAGGGAAGGGCCGAGCCGGGGCTGCAGGGGCAGGCGACGGGGCCAGCAGGGCGGCGGATCGGGGCCGCGAGGGCAGCGCGACGCGGTCGCTAGGGCAGCGCGATGGGGTAGCGGGGCCGCGCGCCTCGGGGCGCGCGCCAGAAAGAAAATCGCCGCGTGCAGGTCGCACGCCACGGGGCGTGCAACAGATCGAGTAGCAGCGGAAGCAGTAGTAGGGCCCTAGGAACAGTTCCCACGAGGGAACCTGCTCGACACCATGAGAAAACTGAAACGAGAATGAATGAACTATGAACGAACTGAGTACAAGTACTAACCCTAATTGGGTTGTACCCCTTATGGGCTACCCCACTATAGCCTACACAATAAGCACAAGCTATATGTTCTGACACAGACCCGCTCATCTGGTGTAGTGCTGCTACTTGCGTTGTCCACGACAGGCGACTCCTGGCGCGCTTCACCACGCGCCTGGTGTAGTTCGGCATTTTCCTTCCGTAGACGCTCCATCTCTGCAGTCATACCCTGCAAGTTGGCCTGCATCGCACGGAACTGTTGCATGAACTCGTTTAACTCGGCCTGCTCCATGTGCCTCAGGCTTCGTCGAACGGGCAGGGGGTGGCTCGCGATTTTTCTGACTTCGGTGAAGGCGTTAATGCTATCGTAGTCGGAGTGGAATAATCAGATCTATTCCACAGGCTTATCGCTTAACAGCCCACCAAGTCTATCGCTCCCCTTCTACAAACTACCCCGGAAACGCGAGGGTAACTTAGGACTTTAGGCTCTGATACCAAGTCTTATAAGTTGTGAAAGGAAAGAGTGCGCAGAACTCAATAGTGCGGAAGTGATTACAACGTCTCAATGGACAACGAGGCCTAGGCATAATATAGCAAGGTTAGCTAGGCTGAGGTCGCGGGGTCGCGGGATGGTTGGGTGTAGGTTCGGGGTTGGAAAACCCGAAAGCGACGCGGTGGTGGCTCGGAAGGCGAGGTCGGCGGGCCGAGCCTGGTTTTCCGAAAGTCGGAGTTGTACGCGTACAGTGTGACCCAGTAAGGAATCCGGAAAATTCCTTACATTTACCATATATTATTATACTTAGCTTAACCGCATCTACTAGCCCACGTTCATATGGTGGTGGCCAGAGGCTTACTAGAGAGGACTTGCCAAGAGTGTCTGGGCACGTGACTAGCAGCCAATGGTGAGTTTCCAGCATGCCCAACCAATTTGTGGTTCCGAGTGGATAAGGGCGCGTGTGTTCTTGCCGAACCTGACTGAAAGTTCGAACTTTTTTAACGGTTTGTCACGGTAGAATACAATAAAAACTATTTGTCACGGTGCAAAACGGTTTGAGTTCGAACTTTGTCAGGTTCGGCAAGAACACACGCGCCCTAACGTACCCATCTCAAGTGGGTCAACCGTTTTTGTGGAGGAGTGGCTTTTCAGTTTGCCCTGTCAAGGTTCAAATGGTGTCAGAGAGCTGTCCGTCCTGACGAGGGCCACATATGATTGGCGGGTACATAGAGCGCGGCAGCGGGAAGTGTTGTGAATCACCTATGACACAAGAGAACCACTGTTTCGATTTTCCCTAGCACCGTGAGATTCGCTATAGACAACCGAAGATGACCGTTGGCATCGACTCTGGTAGTACACCAACACCTTCCGCGAATCCCGGCACCTGCATGGGGCGGGACATTTCTCGCTCCTGACCCAACCGCAACAATTTCGGAACTCAGGCGCCCCGGCAGCCTGGAGTGCATCCTGACAATCTCCAGGCCTGTGATCAAGTGCGATGTCAGTCCATGCAGTTTGGCATATGCCAAAATGCGGCCATTATCTCTGATACTCAAATTTTGCCTGGGCGCGTTCTCAGGTGTAATCACCAACAGAATCATGGTTTCGCGATAAAGTAGGAAGCTTTTCTGGCTCAGATCTATATACAGTCACTCAAAAAAATTGCAGCGATTGAAAAATATATACATATATAACCCGTAGCGAACCTAAATGATTTCCGGGAAGGATCAACCCTAGATACCGAAAGCCGCCCAATATTTTGGAAAACATATTGCAACCCACTTGACAAAAAAAAAACCCAATCGGAAAGGGATGCGACTCGGGAGGCATCAAACCTAAAAACAGTTTCCATTCCCGTGTTTAGGGTTGACCCCTCTCGAAAATGCATCCAGGTTCCCTAGGGGTTTTTTTTTTCTGCCATGCCCGAATAGTTCTCGGTAGCGTCGTCTAGTGCTTTCGGTAGCTTTGTTTAGAGGTCGGTTGCGCTACTGAGCACCACCAAGTGAATTATATGGGCTTCATTCTCTTACTACCTAAATTTCCTTTCTTATATCCAAGTCGGGAGGGTAAACTGGATGGTTCTGTTTTTGTCACTTCCTAATAATTTCTACCAGTGTAAACAATGTGACAATAACGCGACGAATAATCAATGTTGAGAAAGTCCAGGTTGATTACACCTGAGAACGCGCTCAGGAAAAAACTGAGTATTGGAGATAATGGCCGTGCCAAGATGGGAGCGAGCAGGCATGGAAAAGCAAAAACTGTTGTTTCCAAGGGGCCTGATGTGTACTTTTAGCAGAGGCGTACAGAAAGCCGTGACCGTCAGATTCAAGCGTACAGCTCGATGAGCGGACCAGATGTGCCCGATGAACGGACTCGATGAAGAGCTGCGAGGAGATTCCTGATAGAATTTCAGTAGTCATTGCTGGATGCCTGCCATTTCTGTTGCAGCTGTGGCTGCGGCAGGGCTCTGGCAATACAGGATCTGCTTGAATACCCGCGAGATGACTTATTTGCTTTTGCCTCCCATGTCCTCCGTTGCTCGACGGCTGGCGTTGAAACACTTTTCAGCCTTCCGTGGCTCACATTCAGTTCTACAACCAGATTTCTGGGCTCACAATCCGGCTACAGGCCGGATTCACCGCAAACAGACATAGATTTTTCAGGCACGCCTTCGTAATACGATAGTGAGATACGTACTTGAGCGAGAAGTCGTGCTTAGTACAAGAGTAGTGGAATTGTATCCGTGGCGGAGCCATCACCATCTATCCTTACGTGCACTGAAATGAACGAAGTTGAAACGCAGATGGTTCACGTCAACGATTATGCTCGTATGACCTCGTCGACGAGTGACGCAACACTTGATCCGGTGTCGCTCACAGGAGCCATGTGTTCAAATGCTTCTGGAGTTTCCTCGTTTCACACAATCGAGCCGCAGGAAATCCACGACGCGATGCTTCGTCAGGATACTACGCTAGCAGCTGAAAGAGATCCAGCAGTTGCAGAAGCTGTAGCAAACGATCAAGATGGGACTGCCTTAATAGATTCTGGAGAGCTCAGACAACCCGACGATAATCGAGACGCTTGTATGGAGTCAAACGAGGCCGTAAATCAGGATCAGACGGTAATTGAGCATGATAAGATGGACGTGGATGCGATACCACCGCCAATTGACCAAGATCAGACTTTATCGAAGGAAGTTCATGAAGCCAAAGGCACTCAACATACGGCGACGGACCAGGAGATTCATGAAGCTCCGACCGACCAAGATATTCATGAAGTCCCTGACCATAAAGACGGCGACATGGAAACGTCCGGCTCTAAGGGAGAGGTGAAAACGGAGCGGTGCAATGAGGCGGAAGCGTCAGCGGTGATAGAAGCCGCAGGAGCCGCGGCGACTGATGGTACAGAATTTACGGCGAAAGTTGCAGGAGACGCACCGATTGAAGCTACAGCAGCCGTGGCGAGTAAATTCGCAGGAGACGCGGCGATTGAAGCAGCAGAAAAAGCGGAAATCAAAGTCGAAAGTGGGCCGGTTGACCATGTGGAGAGACGAGTGGAAGAAACGTCAGTTCCGGCTGGTGAAGCGAGCGAGGATGTGAAGATGGAAGACGTAAACGTCGCGGGCCACGGCAGCAACGATGCGACTGATGTCAGCAACCTTGCGACTGAGGCCAGCCAAGGTGCAACTGACGGCAGCAACGACGCGAACAAGGATGACGGCACTGGCGATGTCGGCGCTGCGAGCGACAAGGATGGCGACACTGCGAAGGATGACGCCGAGGCGAGGTCTGCAAATCCCGCAATGGATGACGACAGCGCCGCTAATTGCAGCTCCCCTCGGGCGACGTCACCAAGGGCTAACGACGCTTCGGCGATGTCGCCTCCTAGAGACCCCGCAGTCGCCGCGCTAGGCGTTGAGACCAACGGCGACACGCCTCCGCCGTCAAAGCCTGGTGCCGGCACGCCGAGCTTCTCCGTGGGGACGCCGTCAGTTGCGGCGGATACTCCGCGGCAGAAGAATATTAGTCCGGACAGCCAGTCCAGCCTGGTCGATCCAGGCCTGGTCGCAGGTAAGAGACCCCACTCTCTCTAAATGAATATTCAATGTTTTGTTACGATGTAATACGTCATCGCCGTGGTGAACTTCGATGTTGCTGCTGTTGTAGTGGTTGTAGGTATAAGGACCATCACTGACTTGCATATCTCTCTGCTTACCGTTCACCGTGCAGATGAGAACGCGGCGCCGTTCACCATCAGCCAATGGCAGCAGCTGGAGCAGCAAGCGCTCATTTTCAAGTACCTCGTCTCCGGCGCCGCCGTCCCTCCTGAACTCATCGACTCGCTCTATTCCACCTCGGACTCGCCTCGCCAATCACCCGACGGCCCTGGTACGGTGTTGAATCACCTTAACTTTTCCGGGCCGATATGGCCATCGGTTGGGCTTGTAACGGGAATGACAGAAACGCGTATCGTTGCTCTGTGCAGCGTCGTGGGCCACGCCGCTCAAGGACGCGGAGCCCCTCAGGTGCCGCCGCACCGACGGCAAGAAGTGGCGGTGCTCGCGAGAGGTACGGCTAAACGCTTGCCACGGCACGAACCGTCCCGCGCTTGCGTCTCTTGTTCTCGCAATTCTTCTCTCATGTCCCCCTTGTTCTCTACGCCGTTTCTCCACTCCTCACCCTTCCCTCGCCTCGCTCCCTTCGCTTCGGCGTGTCTCGCCGTCTCGACTCCGAGGTTGATTTTTTCTACCTTGTCCATCTGACCCTCTCCCGTTCCTGTCTCCTTCCCACCTCCCCCCAATCTCTCCCCCTCTCTCCCCCTCCCGCGTGGCTCATGGCAGGCGGTGACGGACCAGAAGTACTGCGAGCGCCACATGCACCGCGGCCGAAACCGGCTGGGCAAATCGCGAAGGCTCAGCGACAAGGCGACGGCCGGATCGTCGCTGTCCATCCAGGCCGCATCGTCCGAGGGGCCCATGGGGTGCGTGGAGGGCACGTGCTCCGCCATGACTGACACGTGCACCGACACGCCCTGCCACAAGGGCCTCGTGCCGAAGTTCGAGCTCGGTTCGGTGTCGAAGATGGAAATAGGCTCGGTGTCGAAGCTGCGGTTGAACACGGACGATGTGGGCTCGACTGTTACCCGCGGGTCCCCTCCGCCTCCGCTTGCGCTGCCCCCGCCCGCGCAGCCTGTCGGCGCGGACCAGGCGCGCACTCCCGCCTCCAAGACCTCGTACGTGGCACCCTCTGTCTGTTCTCTCTTATTCGTTGTGTTTCTTAGAAACACCGAGCAGAGGCTTAGATTCTTTGTGATCGTGCCAGTCAATGGACAACATACGGTGCTGGAAGCATATTCCTATTCCGCACTTGCTCCTCTGATTGCCTTACTCTGTGGCTTATGGTTTTCTTCTCTTGTTTCCTTGTGTCCTCGCAGGGGCCTTGGTTGCTCCAAGCAACTCGCCATCGAGCTGTCCCCGGAGAACACGGGATCACCCGTCCCGACCAACCAACAGCCCCACGACCCTGCGTGCACCCCGTCCGCTACTGCTGCTCCCGCCGCCTCTGCCAGCGCAGTCACTGGCTCCGATACCGCTGCAGCCCCGCCGTCCCGTGCCATGTTCACCCCGTTCGGCCTCCCTGAGCCCACGCCCGCTCCTTCCACTTCCTCCGCGCCTCCCCCTGAAGCCGCATCCAACAGTAAGTTGCTCGTCTCTGGCGGCTCAGACTGTTACAACCCTCAGCAGCCGCAGCAGCAGCAGCAGCAGCAGCAGCAGCAGCAGCAGCCCTTTGAGCAGCAGCAGCAGCAGCAGCCCTTTGAGCAGCAGCAGCACTTCGGGGCGGACCCGCGGCTGCAGAAGTCGCAGTCAATGCCGTGCCACAGCAGCGGCAGCAGCAACGGCCGGATTCAGCTGCAGCTGAACGGCTCTCTGGGCCCTCGCCTCACCTCCACCTTCCAACCCGGGCACAGCATAGTGGAAGGCGACGAAGGCAGCCCCGCCCCCATGCCTCCGCAGCAGCCACAGCAGCAGCATGCGCTGATGCCCTCGCGATCCATGCCGCCCCGCCAACAGCAGTCAGGTGCGTCAAACGCCCTGTACTCTCAGCAGCAACAGCCTGCCGGGCGCATGGGCTCGCCGCCTCGCATGCAGCGGTCCACGTCGCTGGTGCTGGGCGGCGGGCAGCGGCTGTGTCTGCAGGTGCCGCCCAGCGGTAACTCACGGACGCCCGTCTCCTCCAGCGGAATGGCGCCTGCTGGTGCCGCTGCTGGTGCTGACACTGCTGGCGCTGGTGGTGGTAACGGCGTGGGGCAGCTCCAGCCGGGGCACTACCAGCTGCAGACGGGCGGACGAGGTCCCAATGGCGCTGTGCCCCTCGGCGGAAGCAACTGGCAGACCCAAGGCCAGCAGCGGCAGTCGCCCGCGCAGCAGCCTTTCCAGCAGCAGCCACCGTCTCAGCAGCCGCAGCAACAGTGGCGGCCGCAGCAGCAGCAGCCGGCACAGCAGCAGTGGCAGGGCCAGTCACAGCAGCCGCAAGACCTTTCTTCCGCGCCCTCTCCTCGGCCGCAGCAGCAGCTGGAGCAGCAGCCACAACAGCGGTGGTCGACGCCGAATCAGCAGCAGCAGCCGTGGCAGCCCCTGCAGCAGCAGCAGCAGCAGCAGCAGCAATGCCAGCCGCAGCAGCAACAGCAGTCCCAGGCTCCTTCCCAGCAACCGCAGTGGCAGCCGCAACAACCAGGGCAGCAGCAGCAATGGCAGCAGCAGCAGGCGCCGCAGCAGGCGCCGCAGCAAGGCACCAACGCTCCTTCTCAGCCCGCAGGTGGTAACCAGTGGCAGTCTCAACCAGCCCAGGCACCACTTGGGCAACAACAGCAGCAGCAGCAGCAGTGGCAATCCCCTTGCGCAGCACAGCAGCAGCAGACGCCTCGGTCTCAGCAACAGGGCGGGCAGTGGCAGGGCCAGAACCAGCAGTGGCAGCCGGAGCACGCCAAGCAGGCCCCTGGGCAGGCACCCATGACGCCAGTGATGCAGCCACAGCAGCAGCAAGGTATGGACCAGGCGGGGCAACCACAGCCCCAGCAGACGCCATACACCCCTCAGCAGGGGCAGTCGAGGCAGGGCGCGGCGCAGAGAGGCGAGGCGTGCAAGTTCAGCTCGCGCGCCCTGGTGCTCAGCGGCGAGCCTGAGTCCCCTGAAACCCACCCTCTCGTCTCCGCCCGCTCTGCTTATTCTGACGGGGCACCCAAGGCCCAGCAGCCACTGCAGCAGCAGCAGATGCGGGTGCAGCCAGTCCAAGGGCAGCAGCAACCCATGAACGTGCAGCATCAGGCGCAGCCGCAGCCACAGCATCAGCCTCAGCCGCAAGTGTCTGTGCAGCAAGCGCCGCTGCAGCAAGCGTCGGTGATGCAGCCACAGCCAATGCAAACCACAGCCATGTCCGGTCCCCCTCAGCCAATGCGAGCCCCGCGTGGATCCATGCTGCCTCCCCCTCCCCCCAATGTCCAGCCGCCTCTCCAGCAGCAACAGCCGCACTCCCAAACCCTCCCCATGCCCCTCGGGGGACTCGCCTCTTCCAGCAGCACCACCAGCAGCACCAGCAGCGGTGGGGGCGTGAAGGTGCCTCTGCTGCGCCTGCCCAGCCTCGTCCAGAGGCCGCCCGCCCACCCGTCCCCCTTGGGCCCGCCTCCCTCCAGCCTCAGCAGCCACGGTTCTGGTCTGTCGGCATCCAGTATGGCATCTCCAATTGGCACCCCCGTGGGCACCCCTATGGGCGCGCCTCACAGCAACCCCTACGTGCTCACGCGCTGCAGCTCCGTGCCTGAGCCCAGGCATGGGCGGCCGCACCTCATGCGCTCCCAGTCCATGTTTGAGTCGCCCCGGAAGAGCTTCGTTGCTGCGCCCTCCGACCAGTACTGCCCCCCGCCCCTGGACCTGCTCAATGGCTCGGATGGTTGTGGGTACAGTGACGGACCGTATGAGCAGCAGCAGTATCAGCAACAGCAGCAGCAGCAGATGTACCAACCAGTGCAATCCCAGCAGCAGCAGCAGCAGCAGCCGATGGGTTACCAGATGGGGAGTTCTGGTGGCTCCGGTGGTATGCCACCAAGCCACACCAACATGCGGCAGATGAGCAACACCCAGCAGCAGCAGCGGTACAGCCCCGCCCCTTCCCAGTCTCGAATGCACAGCCCCGCACCGCCCCAGGCGCCCATGGGTTCCCAGCCATCCCTCTCGCATGCACCCATGGGGCAGCCCCAGCAGCAGTACTCGCATGCTGCTCCCATGCAGCCACAGCAGCAGCAGCCGTTCTACCAACAGTCGACACAAGCAGTGCAAGGGCCACCAGCGCAGCAGCAGCCTCCTCTGCACCATCAAACCCAACCCATGCAGTACCAGCAGCAGCAGCAGCAGCAACCGCAGCAACAGCAGTATCAGGCTCAAACCATGCACATGCAGCCGCAAATCCAGCACCAGCAGTATCAGCAGCAGCAGCAACAACAGCAGCTGCCTGGTCCTCCGCCCATGCAACAGCAGACCACGTCTCAGCCTTACATGCAGCAACAACTTCATTCTACAACCCAGATTCATCCTCCCTCTGCCTGTGCTGACGACCGGCAGCAGCAGCAGCAGCCACCACAGCAGCAGCAGTCTGGACTCTCCATCGACATGTTTTTTAGTGACGACAGGTAAGCTACAGACACCTTCACAGCACCATATCGGTTGCCGTTTCCCCTCTTCTCGGCTTGCTGCATTCTAAACAGATCGTAGGATGAAAATGTGTTCATGCACAGCAGTAACTCATCGGTTCCCTTGCTCTCTTCTGTCTCCCTTCTCTCTCTAATTCCTCTTTCGAATTGCAGTCCATGGGAGGAGGCATCAGCCTTGATTGGCCGCTCACCCAATCTGGGTCCGCTGCCGTGTGTGGAAGACGCTGACGACTGCGGCCTCATCAGCGGGCCGCCCTCACAGTACTTCTCTGTCAACCCTTCCGACTCCCAGGATGCCTTCCTGGCCGCCTGACAATGGGATGTTTCGCAAGGGCTAGCACAAATGCTTGCCCCTTGACAGACCTAAGGGATGTAAGCAGGAACAGTAGGCTCTGTTCTTTTGTTGTGATATGTAGATTTTTGTACACTGGGTGGGTAGGATACTTCTGTCTCCCTCGTATGCTTGACGAGGTCAAGGATAGGTAATAAGCCACGCCATGTATTGAACATACTAATACTATCACATAACTGTACTACTCCAAGTCATGAACATTATAGTGCCAGCAACTGAACCAGACCAGGATTGTGACCAGGCATGCCCTCACAGTTGCGAGAACTTCCAGGCCAGAAATAAGAGCTCCGAATCCCATACAAGACATCAATGAACTGATTCTCTCAGGTGCGGAAGCATCCTGGACTTCTCCAGGATTTTAGAAGAAGAGCAATCACCACCACAACCATTACAACAGTCAATAGTCGGTCTGCCGTCCACCCTCACAATGTTGCTGATGAGCAACTCCCTGTCCTGTCCTCCCTGCACTCCCCACCCACTGGCTCTCCTCAGGAGAAGCGCTACGCTGACTGCGCCCCAACACCAGCCTTGAGGGCTTCTGCCGACACCCAGACAAAGCTCTTACCGGGAATGACCCCCTTCTGGCAGTAATATACACACTTTGGCTGAGCGCTGCGGTCAATATTGTCACGGGAGCACACGGGGGGCCAGGAGTCCGGGAGAGAGAGCGAGGGAGAGGAGGTGGGGGAGGAGGGAGCAGCAAGGCCGGCCATTTCCAGGAGGGCGGGATCGAGGGGGTCCTGGCAGAGCGTCTTGACCGGGGCCTTGATTGTAGAGGGGTCTTGTAGCGCGTTCTTGGAGTACTTTATAAGGAGGATGGCCCAGTAAAGCGTGTGCCCGCTACGTGTGCACGCCCACCTGGCGGTTCCAGCAGTGAGACGAGGGACAGGGGGAGTGGAGGATGGGGAGGGGAGGAAGGAGAGGAGGGGGGGAACCATGAATGCACATTCATGCATTTGAGAACATGGCTGTCGTGGCTCTGCCACTCATGAGCATGTTGCACACTGATGCATGCTGCATGACCAGCACACACATCCAACACACACACACTCAGCACACACACACTCACTTAGCCGCCCGTTTGCCCGCAGCAACCATGTGGTGCACGTGGTTGCCATGGCTCCGAGCCCACCAACACACACACTCAGCACTCACACTCAGCACTCATACTCAGCACACACATGCACAGCACAGACACACACTCACTTGGCCGCCCGTTTAGCCGCGGCCACCATGTGGTGCACGTGGTTGTCGTGGCTCTGCGCCCACCGCAGCTTCTCTATCAGGTTGTCAAAGTGCCGGTTCGCCGGGATGAAGTTCACGTAGGGCTTTAAGAGTGGCGTGAAGAACTCCGCGTAGGGCGAGGCCTGCCTGATGGCCACCTGTAGGAGGGAGGGGGTAAAGGAGGGGGGTACAGGGGAAGTGGGGGTGGTATGATGGGGGGACGGGGAAGAAGAAGGGACGAAGTTCACATATGGCTGCAAGACAGGCATTAAGAACTACCAAGGGGGGAATGGGGGAGGGGGGAATGGTGGAGGGGGGAATGGGGGAATGGGGGAGGGGGGGAGGGCCTTGTGAGACATCTCATACCTCACCTGCTTTCCCCTTCCTAGAAACGCCTCACAATCACTTGTCAAATCTCACCTGCTCGCCCCGCGCAAGAATAGCACAGGTGTGGTGGGAGGAGGGCAGGCCAGACACGATCTGGTACTTGGACTTGCTCATTGGTGGGTCGGTGGAGAGTGAGGTGAGAGAGGTGCGAGAGATGTTATGCCTCACCTGCTCGCTTCACAACCTCACCTGCTCGCTTCACAACCTCACCTGCTCGCTTCACAACCTCACCTGCTCGCTTCACAACCTCACCTGCTCGCCCCGGGCCAGAATAGCACAGGTCTGGTGCGAGGAGGGCAGCCCTGACACGATCTGGTACTTGAACTTGCTCATTGGTGGGTCGGCCGTGAGTGTGGGGCGCCCCACCATGGCCACTCCATCCGCCTCCATCCTAAGAAGAGCGTGCGGGGATGAAGGAAACGGAGTGGATATGAGGTGCGAGGGAGTTTGGTGAGAGAGCAAGCGCGGGCGAGTGAGAGGGAGTGAGGGGGAGTGAGCATGAGTGAGCAAGAGTGAGGGGGAGTGACAGGGAACAAAAGTGGGGGAGAGCGAGTGAGAGCAGGCACTGAGAAGGAGGATGGAAGGAAGTTCATCAAGTAACGCCGAAGGTGCAAGATTCACCGGGTAACATCACCCCCTTCCCTGCATCACCGTCTGGCCAAACCCCACCACCCCACTTTCTGTCCCTCCCACCACCCCAATTTCTGTCCCCCCCTTCACCTTCTCCCCCCTTCACCTTCTCCCCCCCCCACCTTCTGGCCCAGTGACCCACCCCACCGTGGCTGCCCACACCTCTTGCGCACGTCCCCATCGATGTCTCGGCTCCACCCGATCAGCTTCACATCCAGCAGGTCTGGCCGCGCTTCCGCCATCCTGGAAGGGGGGGGGCGGGGAGGGGGGGGAAGTGGGGGAAGGGGGGAGTGGGGTGGGGAGGAGGGGAGGACGAAGAGTGCGAGTGAGCATCAGCGTCACGTCCAGAAGGTCCCACCTGTGCAGGCAAATAAGTGGGTGCACCGTGCATGTGCCCTGAAAACAAGTGGGTGCACCGTGCACGTGCCCTGAAAATAAGTGGGTGCACGTGCCCTGAAAATAAGTGGGTGCACGTGCCCTGGAGAATAAGCTATCTAGTACCTACCCCAGAAGGCCCCACCTGTGCAGGCGGATGAGGGGGTGCGCCCTCCGCCAGTTCTACCTACACCAGAACATCCTACCTGTGGAGGTGGATGAGGGGGTGGGCCTGCCAGCTCTGAGAGTCCTCAAACGGGAAGCTGTTTGAGACGTCTCAAAAAGTGACTCCTATCACATGTCTACCTGTGCAGGCGGATGAGGGGGTGGGCGCGCCAGTTCTGCGAGTCCTCAAACGGGAAGCTGCTGGCCGTGCCGCGGAACACAGCGCGGTTCTCCTTCTCCTCCCACGACACCTGCAGCAGGGGAAGCGGAGAAAAAAGGGGGGGAGAACGGTTCAGCGCGATTCAAACGGAACACAGTGCGGTGTTCTCCTTCTCCTCCCAGGGCACCTGCGGCAAGGGGGTTGGCATGGAGAGGGTGGGAGAAGAGAGGTGGCTTCTCGCACCTCATTTCAGCGTGACTTTTCAAATCAGGGGTCGGTTCTCCTCGCAGAGCCCTCCCAGATCCACCACTCTAAGCCCACCCCCACCCATTCCCATCCATCCCCACCACCACGTTCTCAGGAAGGTTCATCCATGTTGTCGGGCAAATCGAGGGGGTCCGGGATGGCCACGTCCACAGAGCAGACCCACACCCCAGCATCAATCATTCGCCAACCCAACCCCACAGCCCCCCCTCTGCCGCTCTCTCTTCCCAAACCACCCACTTCCACGTTCGCAGGAAGGTCCATGTTGTCGGGCAGGTCGAAAGGGTCGGGAATGGCCGCGTCCACGGAGCAAGCAAGACTTAGACCTCCAAAATCGGTCATGAGGCAACACACCCCCACCCACCTGAACCCCACCTTCCCCACCCCCTCTACCCCACCTTCCCCACCCCCTCTACCCCACCTTCCCCACCCCCTCTACCCCACCTTCCCCACCCCCTCTACCCCACCTTCCCCACCCCCTCTACCCCACCTTCCCCACCCCCTCTACCCCACCTTCCCCACCCCCTCTACCCCACCTCCCCCACCCCCTCTACCCCACCTTCCCCACCCCCTCTACCCCACCTCCACATTCTCAGGAAGGTCCATGTTGTCAGGTAAGTCGAGGGGGTCCGGGATGGCCACGTCCACGGAGCCCACCCATCCCAACCCATCCCCACCCATCCCCACCCCACCCAACCGCACTCCATTCTCTCACCTCCACGTTCTCAGGAAGGTCCATGTTGTCAGGTAAGTCGAGGGGGTCTGGAATGGCCACGTCCACAGAGCCCGGCACCACACGCGTGCTGAAGAAGGGGAACCTCATTGGGCGGCTGCCAACCCACCCTGACCCATCCCAACCATCTCTACTCCCTCGCGCACCTCCACGTTCTCAGGCAGATCCATGTTGTCAGGTAAGTCAAGCGGGTCTGGGATGGCCACGTCCACGGAGCCGGGGACGACGCGCGTGCTGAAGAAGGGAAAGCCCACCGGGCGGCTGCCGCCCACGTCGCTGTCATAGCTGATGGGCAGGTCGCACGTGTTGACAAAGAACTCCGCCCGCACGGCCGCCAGGTTGTGGAAGTCTACTGCTCGCTGCAGGGATTGTGGGAGGGGGGGAGGGGGGGAGAAGGGGGAGGGGGGGGGAAGAAGGGAGCAGGGGGGAAGAAGGGAGCAGGGGGATTCGGGGAGAAGGAGGGATTTTTTAGGCGTCTCAAAACACGGCTGCCAGGTTGTGGAAGTCTACTGCTTGCTGCAGGGATTGTGAGAGGGGGGGAGGGGGGGGTGGGTGAAAGATGGGAGCAGGGGGATTCGGGGAGAAGGAGGGAAGGGAGGGAGGTTGTGAGATGGGAGGAGAAGGGGGATGAAAGGGGAAGGAGGAGGAAAACGAGGTCGGGGGGGGGAGAAGAGAAGGTTGGGGTGCAGAAACAAGGAGCGGAAGGCGGGGCCGGGAGGGGGAGGGGAGGTGGATTTGGAGAGGTGAAGTGAGGACTCTCCTATAATCACTTTAGAGATTTCTAACGAGTGAGTCAAGGGCGTGTTGATCTGAGCTGAGGTATGCGTGAGAGGGGGAGAAGAGAGTAGAAGGGGGCCGCTTGTGAGTCGACTCAAAGAACGGGGGGGCATGGATGCAAGAGATAGTGCGGGCTGCTGGAGTAAAGGAAGAGAGGCGGGAGGCGGGAGTACTGGTGAGGGGAGATCCAAGGAAGGGGGGTGTTTAACATAGGAAAGGCAGACGGGCGTGGGAAGGATTGAAGGGAAGTGATTGGAAAGGAAAACGAGAGGGCTGAGAGGGCTGGGATGAGAGAAGGGTGGACGAGGCAGCACTGGTGTCTAACCAGACTGTCTTTCGAGGACCCTCGACCAACACTCACCGGGATGGTCTTCACAGTCTTCAGGAAGCGCCTGAGGCAGTAGGGAATGGCTTTGGAGTGACTTTTGAGAATTCTCAAAAGTCACTCCAATATGGCAGTAGGGAATGGCTTTGGAGGGGCCTTGATCGACTCTCACTCACTCACTTGAAGGGCGACTCTTGAGTCGACTTGTGAGGCGCCTCAACTCTAAAGGCGACTTGTAAGGCTCCTCAACTGACACTCACCTGAATGGTCTGCAAGAATCGCCTGACGCGGTAAGGAACGGTTTTGAAGGGGCTTGAACTCACCTGGCGCGCGACTGACTGAAGGCGACTCAGCCTAACTCGACACTCTCTCACCTGAATGGTCTGCACGGTTTGCAGGAAGCGCCGCACGCGGTAGGGGACGGTGATGAATCCGCCCAGCCGGAAGTAGACTGACCCGTCCACCACCCTCACGTGGCCCGCACATGACATGAACTGATTGGGGAAGGGGGGTGGGGAGGAGAGGAAGGAGGGAGTGGAGGAGAGGATGGAGGGGGTGGGGGAATGGGTTGTGCAACGGAGGAAATATACTGACCCGTCCACCACCCTCACGTGGCCGGCGCATGACATAAACTGATGGGAGGGGAGGGGGGTGGGGGCGGGAGGGGGGGGGAGAAGGTTTGGGGGGTGGGAGAGGGGCACCAAGTGCGGGATGGTGATGAATCCGCCCAAACGGAAATAGACTGACCCGTCCACCACCCTCACGTGGCCGGCGCATGACATAAACTGATTGGTGGAGGAGGGGGAGGAGGGAGGGAGGGAGGGAGGGAGGGAGGGAGGGAGGAGAGGAAGGAGAGGAATGAGGGAGTGGGAGAACGGGTTGTGCGAAGGAGGAAGTAGACTGATCCGTCCACCACCCTCACGTGGCCAGCGCAAGACATGAACTGAATCGGGTGGAGGAGGGGAAATAAGGAGAAGAGGGAATTGGTGAAGTGGTGAAAGGGGTGTGCGAAAAGAGACAAAGAAGAGAGCGGGAAAGGGGTGAAGAGCAGCTCACGTGACCGGCACCCAACTTGGACGGATGTGAAAGGGTGGGGCAGGGAGGAGGGATGGAATGACAAGCGGGAAGGAGAAGGCAACAACGAAGCCGATGAATGCCAGCCCACTACCCTCACTTGGCCTCCTACCCCTTCTCTTCTTCCCCCCTGCGTAACCCCCCTCTCTAGCACTCAACCTTTCCCTCCCACCTCACCCGTGGGCGCTGGCTGATGGTCTTGACAAGGCTGGGAGCCACCATGCCAGCAACGCCCATTCCATTGCTCTGCCATCTCAAACCCCCCAACCCCCTCCCTCATCTCTCCACCCCCCCCCCCCCCCCCCCCCCCAATCACCTCCCACCCAACCCCCTCGCTCACCCGTGGGCACTGGCTGATGGTCTTGACAAGACTGGGCGCCACAATGCCGGCAACGCTCATGCTGTGTCAGCCGCCCCCCTCCCACACCCTTCCCACACTCTCCCCCTCCTCACCCCCCCTCCTTCCCCTCACCCGTGGGCGCTGGCTGATGGTTTTGACAAGGCTGGGCGCCACCATGCCGGCAGCGCCCATGCCGTGTCAGCCGTCCCCCTCCCACACCCTCCCCCTCCTGAGTCACCCTCCTCACCCCCCTCCCTCACTCACCCGTGCGCGCTGGCTGATGGTTTTGACAAGGCTGGGCGCCACCATGCCGGCAGCGCCCATGCCGTCACGAATCTGCGGGATGCGTGTCCACGGCGCCAGGTTGTGGTCCACCATCTCGCACACCTGCATGCACGCGGTTCAAAGCGGTTGAAAGGGGTGGAAGCGCAGCAAGCAAGCAGTTGAGAGCGGTCAAAAAGGGTGGACGTGTGGCAAGTAATCGATCTGCGGGATGCGCGTCCACGGCGCCAGGTTGTGGTCCACCATCTCGCACACATGCACGCGGTGGAAACGGGTTACAAAGGGTTGCAAGGGGTTGCAAGCGCTTGCAAGGGGGTACAAGGGGTTGCAAGGGGTTGCAAGGGGCTGCAAGGGGTGGAAGCAAAGAAATGTGCGGTGAGGACTGTAAAGGGCTGTGGTCCACCTTGTCGCTCACCTGCTGTACAGTTGCACACCTTGTTGCAGTGGACACATTGAGCTCCGCATACCCGCGCACGTCCCACACGATCTTAGCCACGCGCTGGCTCAGCTCAGCCCGGCCCCGCCAGCTCATGGCTTTTGAGTCGACTTAGACGCCACCCCTAACACCTGCTGCGCCATGCCATCCCACTCACCTGTTGCACGGTCGCCGTGGACACGTTGAGCTTGGCGTACCCCCGCACGTCCCGCACGCTCTTAGCCACGCGCTGGGTCAGCCCCGCGAGCTCATCCGCGGGGGAGTCCGCGGGGGAGACCGCGGAGGCGGAGAGCGCGGAGGAGGTGGACAGGGACGGCTGGTCGGACGCGGAGGGGACGTCAATGGGGACGGGGTCGAGCAGCGTGGCGGAACTGGGGGGGGTTTCGGGGATCTGCGCGGGCAGCTGCGCGGGGATCGTGTCCAGCTGCGGCTGGGGCTGCTGCGCGGCTCTGGTAAGGGAGGCGCGCGGGGGGAGACGCGGTGAGGGAGAAGAGGGTTGGGGGCGGGGAAAGGGGGACGGGTGGCGAGGGGGGCAGGGGAAAGGCGGGTGAGAGGGCGAATGGCGGATGCGATGGGGATGCTGCATTGCAGGTGGGGAAAGGGGCAACAAGAATGTTTCCCCAGCACCCCCCCTCCCCACCCCTCCGTGCACCCTCTTCGCCCAACCAGAAACCCACCCCCGCCTTTCCCCCTTTTCTTTCCCCCACGTCCACCTCCACCGCCCCCCCAACCCCTCCATTCTTCTCAATCGGCTCACCCCTCCGCGGCCGCTGCCGCGCCCCCAGCGCGCTTCTTGGCCTTCCGCGGGGCTTCTTCCGCCAATGCGCTCCCCGGACCGTCGTCCAACTGCTGCTTGCGGCGAAGGCGCTGCTGACGTGGCAGAACAATTCAGGCAATCATGCGGCATCGACACATGACACGTCATGCGATGCGATGAGATGCGGTGCGATGAGATGCGGTGCGATGCGATGCGATGCTCGGAATAAGATGAGTGCATTGTTTGAAATGCTTCACGACCAGCCTCGTTTCGGAATGCACACGTGTCAAGCAAGCCATTTCCATGCCACGTCAAGCAACTCGTGACCTATAGTTTTGAGCGGTCGCATAACAATCAGACTAACGTTCCGATGCCTTATGTCGGAAATACTTGGTTCGAAGGCGAATAAGGGAATAATGGTATATTAGAGGAGACTGCGGAGAAGAGTGTGGTTCGGACAGGGCAGCGTGCGCGCGGCAGACCACCTTGGCTTGAAGAAGTCGCCGTCTGAGAGGAGATTCGTTCGACGAAACGTCTTTCACCGTCTGCCACTCTTCGCCTGAAGCGAAAACGTGCGCGGAAGGCTCGCCGCGAACGCAGGCGACATTGGTAACAGAGACGACAGCGGCGACGAGCGCAATCAATAAGAGACACAGCCGCGCCATTGCGGGGCGACGCGCGTGACGCGGAATAAAATCACCTGCTTCCGACAGAATGGAAGCTCGGATTCGGCCCAAATCAAGGTTAGAAGACCCTCACAGGCCCTATTGTGTACCAAACTCGAGAAAAAGAATGGCTGCAGGGAAGATATGGCAGAGTACGACTGTTCCGCACACAGTGCAGACATGTGCCTCGGGAATGTCCATCTGGTGATGCACCAACCTCGGGATCTTCCATCGCAAATCGAGTTCGCAAAGATGTGGGTTACTTGGATACCCTGCGACCTCAGTACGAGTGTGGCCACGGGCTGGATGTTCGTTCGAGATAGAGTTGATCAGCAGAGTGCACATCAGTGTGATATGTTTTGACATAAAAACCTGTTTAAACTGGCACTTTATATAGAATTTAGGTAACCCTAAACTCTCATCTCCACTCCACCTCAATTTCACTCCGTAGTCATCCACAAGCCAGAACTCGCAGCGATGCCCATAATAGAAAAATCACAATACAACATGGAGGATCATGCCTCTCTGATAGTTATTGCAACCCCTTCAAAAGCAAAAGCATCACCCAGAAACAGCAAAAGCAAATAATACCCCCCTTTCTCTTGAATACAGGCTTGTATTGTGAGCATTTCTTAGTGAAATGTCTCTGAAGGGCTGTTATCAGGGGCTCCCTTCCTCCTGTCCCATGATAGGAGCCAAGAGATCATGAACCTGCATGACATGGATGGCAAGGGACAACATAAAAACTGAAGAATGTCATCATAGCTTGTGCGCATATCAGTGTGCGTCCATGTTTGCGTGTGCGTCCGTGTTTGCATGTGCGTCTGTGTTTGCGTGTGCGCCTGTGTTTCCGTGTGCGCATGCAGGCATGGGTGCACGTCTGTGTGGATGCCCACGTATGCATATGCATTTTTGTGTAGGTGGGTGTATGCGTGTGTGAGCACACATGCACGCGCACATGTGTGCGTGTGAGTGTGTGCACACATGTAACCATTCACACATGCATGGATCCTTTCAACCATGACCGTTACACACCTCTTTGACCGTCGGCCGCTCTCTCTTATCCACATTGATGCATCGCATTGCAAGGGACGCCAATATGAGCACCTGACCCATGAGAGGGGAAGAGATAATGTCAATTCTGAGAGTGAGTGGCTCAAAGAGGAGTCAAACGAATCAAGCCAGAGGCTCAGAAAGGGAGCGGATTTTAGATCATGTGCCTTCCAAAAGTGCTGGGCTTACCTCATCCTCGTTGTACATCCCCTCTAACAGCGGATCCACCAACTCCTTTATTGAATCTGAGCTGCTCCAGTCCTGCTGCCGTGCCTGCACAACATCCCATCCATCACACACATCCATGCCGCATACAAGGTTCCAACATACACAACCAGGCCAGACGGAAACCTCTTGAATCGTTGTGCGCAAGCAAAGAGCAGAAGGGCGCACTGCGAGCAAGAAAAGGGTTCCCCAGGCCAAGTAAGGTCAGCAACACGGGAATCCCAAGGTCCTCCTGTGTGAGAAATACAAGACTGGAAGTCCCAAGGCTTGCCCAGTCACTCAGCTGCATCACTTTTGAGAATTCTTAAATCAGATTCTCACAGGGGATTCTAGAAACACACCTCTCAAAAGCGAATCCCAAGGCCCACTCGTGTGACAAGTATAAGACTGCAAGTCCCAAGGCTTACCCAGTCGCTCAGCTGCACCGGATCACGATCGTCATCGTACGGAAGCTTCCCGGAAACGAGCTCAAGGAGCAGCACACCATAAGCATACATGTCGGTGGTCTTGTCCGTCTCCCCTGTGGTGCCGCACTCGGGGGCCATGTACCTGCACGGAGTGAAAGAGAGAGGGCGGGGAGGGAGCAAGGAGCGTGGCGGGCGGGGTTTGGTTCTGAGGCACCTCATGCCTCTCGTCTTGTCCGTCTCCCCTGTGGTGCCGCACTCGGGGGCCATGTACCTGCACGGAGTGGGGCGGGGAGGAGGAGGTAAAGGAGTGTGGGGAACAAGGGGCAATGCGGGCTGCTTCTCGGGCGACTCACGCCTCTCGTCTTGTCCGTCTCCCCTGTGGTGCCGCACTTGGGGGCGATGTACTTGCAGGGAGTGGGTGAAGAAAGCGGGGCACAAGGGAAAGCGGGGCACAAAGGAAAGCGGGCACAAGGGAAAGCGGGCACAAGGGAAAGCGGGCACAAGGTTTGGCTGGGTGCACGAACAGACTTGTCCGTCTCCCCTGTTGTGGCGCACTCTGAGATGATGTCCCAGCAGCGAGTGGGTGGGGAGAAGGGGGCTGGGGTTACTTTCAGAGGCACCTCAACGAGTGTAAGGGAAACGGGGGAGAGAGGCTTGCAAGAACTGACTTGTCCGTCTCCCCTGTTGTGGCGCACTCTGAGATGATATCCCAGCAGCGAGTGGGTAGGGAGAAGGGGGCTGGGGTTACTTTCAGAGGCACCTCAACGAGTGTAAGGGAAACGGGGGAGAGAGGCTTGCAAGAACTGACTTGTCCGTCTCCCCTGTTGTGGCGCACTCTAGTGCTTTGTACCTGCAACGAGTGAGTGAGAGGGGGGGGAGGAAGACAAGGAGTGGAAGGGGAAGGGGCTTAATAGTAGCAGGGAAGAAGGGCGCTTATGCTTGGCAGTAGGGCTGAAGGGAGGGCGCTTATGCTTGGCAGTAGGGCTGAAGGGAGGGCGCTTATGCTTGGCAGTAGGGCTGAAGGGAGGGTGCTTACGCTTGGCAGTAGGGCTGAAGGGAGGGCGCTTATGCTTGGCAGTAGGGCTGAAGGGAGGGCGCTTACGCTTGGCAGTAGGGCTGAAGGGAGGGTGCTTACGCCTGGCAGTAGGGCTGAAGGGAGGGCGCTTATGCTTGGCAGTAGGGCTGAAGGGAGGGCGCTTACGCTTGGCAGTAGGGCTGAAGGGAGGGTGTTTACGCTTGGCAGTAGGGCTGAAGGGAGGGCGCTTACGCTTGGCAGTAGGGCTGAAGGGAGGGCGCTTACGCTTGGCAGTAGGGCTGAAGGGAGGGCGCTTACGCTTGGCAGTAGGGCGAGGCGAAGTTGTCGTTGCGAGCCTCTGCAAAGTGTGACATTCCAAAGTCGAATAGCTGGCGGCGGGGGAAGGGGGAACGGGAGAGTGCGGGAATGGGAGAGTGGGGGCATGGGAGAGTGGGGGAATGGGAGAGTGGGGGGATTTGGAAGTGGCGGAATGGGAGAGTGGGGGAATGGGAGAGTGGCGGGATTTGGAAGTGGCGGAATGGGAGAGTGGGGGAATGGGGGAGTAGTGGCGGGCGGGGGATAACGAGAGGGTTGGATGGGCGGACGGGATGGGCAAGGACAGGCGGGACTGTGTGGCAGCACATGCGTGTGTGGCAGCACATGCGTGTGTGCCAGCACATGCGTGTGTGCCAGCATAACACTGAACCACACGTCTCAAGGAGCGCACTTGCTTGGGGGGTTTGGCCGCAAGGCAAAGAAACTTGCCTGGGGGGGTTGGCCGTGGGGCAGCAGCACGTTGCGTGAGACGAGTGCGCCGTGCAGGATGTGGGGGTGCGAGCACACGTGCAGCTGCAGCAGCCCCTCCCCCACGGCATGCGCCACATGCACCCTCGCCTGCCACCCCATGGGCTCCTGCAATGCTTGCTCTGCACAGAGGGAGGGAGGGAGGGAGGGAGGGAGGGAGGGAGGGAGGGAGGGAGGGAGGGAGGGAGGGAGGGAGGGAGGGAGGGAGGGAGGGAGGGAGGGAGGGAAGGAGGGAGGGAGGGAGGGAGGGAGGGTGAGAAGAGAATGGCTTGCTTGTGGGGCGTGACCAATCAGAAGATGAAAGGAGTTATAGATTGATATCAACTCGTCTCACCAAGCAGGTGCGTCACGAGGCGGTGCAGCGAGTGGAAGAGGTGAGGCGTGGGGGTGTGGCCGTGGGTGCAGGTGAGCACTGGTGACAGCGACTCCCAGCAGTGTCACAAGCAGTTGCCCCACCTCGACCTTGCCCCACCCCACCACTCCAGTCTCACCTTGCCACATGTCTCACCTTGCCACATGCCTCACCTTGCCACATGTCTCACCTTGCCACATGTCTCACCTTGCCACATGTCTCACCTTGCCACATGTCTCACCTTGCCACATGTCTCACCTTGCCACATGTCTCACCTTGCCACATGTCTCACCTTGCCACATGTCTCACCAGGGAGGTGAAGCGAGTGGAAGAGGTCAGGGGCGTCGGTGTGGGTGTAGGTGAGCAGGCACTGGTCCGTGGTGACGGTAAAGCCCAGCAGAGTCACCAGGTTGCGGTGCACCACTCTCCTCAGCGCGTGCGCCTCTGCTATCGTGCGACTCACCCACATGTCCCTCTCCCTTTCCCTCTCCCTCTCCCGCGCCTCCTCCCCCGTCCCCCACTCCCCTCCCCTCCCCAGTTCTCCACTCCGCCCCCCCACACCACGCTTATCTCTCCCGAAGCTCCCCCCTCCCCCGGTGCTCCCCCCTTCCCCCGCCCCGGGCGCCATTTGCCGCACCACCATCACCTCCCCCACGGTTTTGATCGTCCCCAGATACACCTCCCCCAGGTGCGCCTGCCGGTGCACCCTGTGCGGGGCGAAGCCCTCTGTGGCTTGCTGCAGCGCGTGGAAGGAGAAGTGCGGCGCTTCGAAGAGGGGCAGCGTGGGGAGGAGACTGGGGGAGACTGGGGCAGTGTGTGTGCGCGGCAGGGAGTGGCGCTTGAAGGGTGTATGGGGGGAGGCGGGTGGATGCGGGGAGGGGGGTTGATGGGCCAGAGAGGAGAGCACCTGCGGGTAGGACGAAGACGAGACGATTCCGCGCGGTTGTTCGCCATACAAGTACGCAGATGAGCCGTCTAAGAAGCTTCCTCCTCCGCTCGTGCCGCTTCCTCTCTCCCTGTCAGAGCCCCCGTGCGACCGCCCACTGCCCCCCCGCTCTCTCGCCAACTCACCTCCCCGTTCTCTCTCCGACCCGCCTCCCCCGAGTGACCGCTCGCCTGCACTCCACCCAACCGACCCTTGCGCCCCATACAACTCCCCAGCCGACCCCCATTCCCTGCCCGACCCGCCCACCAGCTCCCCGCCCCTGCTGCCGAACCTCCCCCGAGCCTCCGCCTCGGCGACCGAGCCAGGTATGGAGAGCGACAGGTGGTCGCCCGCGCGGCCCTGCACGGCGAGGCCGTTCTGCACGGCCTCGCGAATCCCCTCCATTTGTAGAAGCACTGCGGACGCGTCTGGGCGCTGCTTGGCGTACCGCACTGTGCAGTCCGCCGCGAGGGACGCGAGCGCTTGCAGCGCGGAGGGCGCGGGCGTGGGGGGGAAGGGCAGCGCGGGGTCGAGGAGCGGTGGAAGGTGGTGCGCGCGGATGAGGGCGGTGAGCGCGGGGATGTTGAGGTAGGCGCGGCGGCCTGTGGCCGGGTCGATCTGCTCCGCTGGCTGGCCGGTTAGAAGCTCCAACAGGATTATGCCAAAACTGGAGAGGGGGTGACGAGGGGAGGGAGAGGAGGAGAGGGGAGGGAGGGGGGGAGAGGGGAGGGAGGGGAGGAGAGGGAAGGATATGAGGCGAGGGGATTATGCTGGCTGGCCGGTTAGAAGCTCCAGCAGGATTATGCCGAAACTGGGGGGTGAGGGGAGAGGGGGGAAGGGTGGGAGGGAAAGGGGAGGAGTGTGAGAGAAGGGGTGTGATGGAGGAGGAATGAGGGAGGTGTGATGCAAGCACGAAGGAACATTGAGAGGTTGGGTGTTACAGTGCTGTGGCTCCCCACTGACATGCCTTATTCACTGACCTGTAACGCCACAACACTGACCTGTAACGCCTCTACACTGACCTGTAACGCCACTACACTGACCTGTAACGCCACTACACTGACCTGTAACGCCACTACACTGACCTGTAACGCCACTACACTGACCTGTAACGCCACTACACTGACCTGTAACGCCACTACCCTGACCTGTAACGCCACTACCCTGACCTGTAGCGCCACAAGACTGACCTGTACACATCGCTGGCAGCAGACGCCCTGAGCGCGATAAAGTACTCCGGGTCAATGTACGCCGCCCGGTTGCGCCGCCCGTTAATGGTCGGCGCATAGGGCAGCCCCTTCACCTCCCCCACGTTGGCAAGCCGCGCCTGGGAGGGAGAAAGAGGGAAATACAGGGGGGTGGAGAGGGATGAGGGGGAGTGGGTATGACACATATGTCAAAAGGGTAGCCTCTTCACCTTCCCCATGTTGGCAAGACACGCCTGGGGGAGGGAATGGGGAGGGGGTGGGGGTGGGCCTGGGAGGATTGTTGTAAGGTTGAGAGGATTTTTGTAAGGTTGAGAGGATTATTGGGATGCAGTGAGTGTAAAAACAGAAAGAGGAGGGCCGGTAGAGGCGGATGAGGAGGAGGAAGAAGAATGAGCAGTACTCGCGTAGGTTGAGAGTGGCAGCAGCAGCACCAGCAGCAGCACTCAAATACGTACGCCCAGCGAAGAGGCATTTGAGTCAACCAAAACGCCGCAGCAGCACTCACATAGGGCCAGCGCGGCTGCAGCAGCACGTTGCCGGAGTTAACTTGGCGGTGCACAATGGGCGGGTCCACGCAGCAGTGCAGGTGGTGCAGCCCCGCCGCCAGGCTGTGCGCTATGTCCACCCGCCGCTCAAAGGAGAGAGATAGAGCGGCGTCTGGGGGGTGAGGGCGATAGCATGTGGGATACAGGCACAATGGTGGGTGGGAGACCAGTGCACCAAAGGAGGGTCCGCGCAGCAGTGCAGGTGGTGCAGTGCTGCCGCCAGGCTGTGTGCTATGTCCACCCGCCGCTCGAAGGACAGGCAGGCCGGGGGATCTGAGGGGCGCGGGGGACAAGAGCATGTGGAGGGATTCAGGGGATTTAGGGCATTCAGGGGATTCAGGAGATTCAGGGGATTCAGGAGATTCAGGGGATTCAGGGGATTCAGGAGATTCAGGAGATTCAGGAGATTCAGGGGATTCAGGGGATCCAGGCTCAGTGGGGGTGGGAGAGGGAGAGAGAGGCAATGCGTCGCAACAGTGCAGGTTTGTCATACATCAGCCTCACAATCCTTGCTCTCACTGCCAAACCATCAGCGACTCACCTCCCATTGCGCCACCCGTCTGCTGTTGCTGCAGCTGCCACTGGTGCTGCTGCAACAGATACTCCAGCAGTGTACCACCGCCCCCACCCGCAACATCAGAACCCACAGCACCAGCAGCAGCAGCAGCAGCACCAGCCGCAGCTGCAGCTGCGCCAGCAGCGCCAGAAGTGGCAAGAGCGTCAAAACCACGATTGGCGTTAGCACCACCGCTGGCAGCAAAGCTGCTGGCCTTCACAAAGGAAGCACCACCGGCAGCAGCACCACCACCACCAGCCGCAGCTGCAGCAGCAGCACCTGCACCAGCGGCGGCAGCAGTTCTCTTAGAGCCGCCAGCAGAGGAACCACCGCCCCGGCGGAAGGAGGACGGGGAGGGGGATGGGGAAAGGGCGGGGGCGTGTAGCAGCGGAGCAGGGTGGTTGTACACGAGCATGTTGCGCCCTACCTCCTCCGCCCACCCCACCAGGCGCACCAATGACGGGTGTGACACGGGGCCCAGGGTATCGACCTGACGTGGAGTGGGGAATGCAATGGGGGGGGGCATGTAGTGAAGGGTGATCTGATAGCTTATACCCAAAACCCTAGACCCGGGGGTTGACACTTCCGTTCAGTTTCCATCCTCCCCTCAAATCGTTTCTTTGCTCCCTGTCATATTATCCCTCCGTAATCCAGTTCGTGTCCCTTCTTGTTCTGCTCTGTCCCCTCTTGTCCCCTATACCCTAAACCTCCCCAATCCCATACCCTCCCCCGTTTTCCCAGGTCTCACCTCCCTCCGGAACGCTTTGATGATGTCAATGTTGTCTGACGTGGAGACAACGACGAGCCAGGCCTCCCCCCGATGCTCCCCCAGGTACGCGCGCCCAAAGTCCCCCTCCCCCACCTGCTGCGCCACCCCCAGACTCGACGTCGCCCTCCAGATTGCCCTCAGGGGCAGCTTCTTCGCCGTTTCCGCGGGGGCAGCCGAACGGGCAGCTGAAATAGCGCGGGGGGACGCGGTGGGAGGCAGAGAGCAGGTGTGGGGTGGAGAAAGAGAGCAGCACGGAGATTCTACGATAGAGTTACAAACGACCGTCAATTCACAGGGGAGGGGATGAGGTGAGGGATGCAGAAGAGACGGAAGGACAGCACGAACAAGTTGGAGCCAACTGTGGAAAGGACACTGGGACTGGCCTTTGGTTTGGCCGGAGGGGCTACAAGCAAAAGTGTCGCCTCAACACCAACAGGAGTGTAATAAGGCTGCACTCAGCACTTGGCGGCCTTGCGACAAGAGGCGTGAAGTTATTGCAGCCATGGAGGGCGCAGATGGGGAAGCAGGCGTCAACGGGAGGAGGAGCAACGCGTCTCAGGAGCGTTGAGTGACTAGTTTGTGTTGACTGTGTTGACTGCGTTGACTTCGTTGACTCGAAGATTGGCCCGGCGGGGAGGCAGGCGCGGAGATCATGGCGAGCAACGCACCTAGAGCGCGCCGATGGCAGGGTGAGGCAACACACCTCGATAGTGGAGTGAGATGAGGAGGGCGAGGAGGGCGACGAAGACGATGAAAAGCACGACCGTGGCTCCGCAGAGCACAATGAATAGCAGCTTCCCCTGCGACGCGGCATCCGCGTCTGGTAAGCGTAGGGAGGGACGGATGGATGGGAGCACGCGGCGTTCGACAGATACATGACGAGGTGTGCCACGAGACCTATGAGCGTCCGAAATGACGTAAAGGGCCTCAGAGATGTGACGGGAAGGACACAAAGGTTTCAGAGCACCGACGGAAGAAACAAGCATCACAAGCAGGGACGGGAAGGACATATGATGGAGCAGCGAACGTATAGGCAGAGAGTTACCAGTGACTAGTAGCCGTCGGTCTGCCCTGAAGGGTATTGGATAGTCTGCAGAGAGAAACGACGATGAACAGAGGCACCGAACAGCGGCAACGAATGAGTCTCAGCAAATGAATTCGATGCGAGTTTCACGACGTCTCAAAACGCCGAAGCAGTGAAACTCTACAGAAGCCTCCTGAAGCCTACCCGACCCTGAGGGTCGTTCGTTCCTGAACTGAAAGCGACACATTTTAGGAGGCAGCGCTCCGCTATGGGCCCGGTGCACTCTAATCCCACCAAAATATTCTCTCTTTGTGGACTCTCACCCGTCTATCAGTCCATTCCGTGCAATCTATTTCTGCCAATAAACCACCGAGTTTGTGTACCAGCCTGCCTTGCTCCTAGCGTCACGCGACGTGCCCGCACCTGTCATTCTTGCATCTGCTCGTCCTAAAAGCGCGGCAAGCAGCGCCAGGACGATCGGCAGGCCCGCGCGGCCCGCCGAGCAGTCCATCTCGACGTGAAGCTTCCCCGTGACGCGCGGGTGTGACTTCATTGACTGATGGAGTGACTTCCGCCTGATGGCACAGGATCTGTACAGCTCTGAATGTCGTGATGCTCTATTTGCCTGACATGTCCCATGCGAGGGAGTTGGCTCGTCATTGAAGCCGTCGCTGAGAATCACTGGGCGTTTGAATGTCCAGCATTCATCCTCGTCGAGCACCCTAGGGAGCATACTCTAGAACAACAAGACGTGAAGCATTGCTGATCTAAAAGGTTACGGGCTCGTGAATCTCCGTGGAGAACGCTATTCGTTGTGTCTGAGCAAGTCGGATTGCCAAACGCCTGATTCACTCAAGCAGCGAAAACCAGCGAATTGGATAACAGGCTGTTTTAGGTAAATCAGATAGGTGCAAACTGCTCTCCTTGCCAAAGTGAGTCTCGACGAAGGTGGGTGGGTGGATCCCTCCCCTTCGAACTTGGTTGGATTTCGTTGGCTTCGAAACGAGACAAGTGCCTTGGACTTGGTTGGTTCCCTCTCTTCGAAGCTCGAAGCGCGAACAATTCGAAGGGAACGCGGTGATTGGAGAGGCTGAAATCATCCTAGACAGCATCCACACGACATCGACGGTTTACAAATGCTGTACGGTAGGCGGGAGCGACAGATCGACCGCTCATAGATGGCGAATACCTTGTGGTGTCATTCGTCTGTCCGATTCAGGAGCGATTTACGGAGGAAATCCACCTCCCCAAGCGCGCATATAATTGAAGAATTATAGTGTGGTAGCTGAGACAAGGGAATCCGACGGCTTACCGCGTTCACCGGAATTTGTCACCCCGACAACATTCCTCGCATACATGCCTACCCGTTTCTAACAAATGGTACGACCTGCAGTTCAAAAATGTATTTTTTTAGCTAACCTAGATTCTTCACTTCACCACATCCACATCTAAATTGCCAACCAGCACGAAAACATATGAAAGCTGATTTGTTGACAATATAGCCCATCCCAAATTGATACTTCTCACATAAACATGGTTTCACTCACTCCATACAGCACCACCAGCAATCCTTCAAACATACGCTGCTTCCCAACCCAAGTACTTCTATGAACTGGTAAATTTGGATGTTATTCATTCACTGGCTTTTTTCCGTAACTAAGATGTCTGCTGAATCTTAAACCTTTTTCTTCTCTCAACATACTGTGAAGAAAGCACTGAGCTCTTTCTGACACATGAAAGAACAGGAATACTAATGAGTAACGACACTCCCGTTTTTGTACATGTACAGTATACCCACAGATACGCACTAGCAAATCAGATCTTATGCCCAGCAACTTAGAGTGAGAGAAGGGGAAAGCAACTAGATTATCGCGATTGGGCACATACTGCACACTTCAACCTGCCCACCATTGCCCAGGCTGACTGATCGTGGATAGTGGATTCACATGGCTTCAACAGGCCATCATTGCCCAACTATGCCTCAGGAAGACATACTAGGTACTAGGCATTGTGATTCATGCGCCTTGAAATTCCGATCCTTCCAGAAATACGGTAGTAGGGCGAGTGAGGTGAGTGCGAGTCAGCGTGATTCATGGGCCTTAAAATTTCGGATCCTTCTGGAAATGGTAGAGCGAGTGAGGTGAGTGCGAGTCAGCGAGTGAGGGAGCCATGGATGACTGAATGCGAGTGAGTGAGTGAGTGAGTGAGTGAGTGAGTGGGTGAGTGAGTGAGTGAATGCAAGCTTAGGAGACGGTACGGCCATAGCTGACAGATGCAATGTACAAATTCTTGGCCCATTTCTCCTGCACATAAGATAACACATGCCACCACATACCATACAGTGCACAACACCAGGCCATACCATGCCAGCCAGAAAGTGTGTGAACAGAAAAAAAGAAAAAAGAAGAAGAAGAACTTTTGCAAGGAATCTTTCAGAAAGATATGAGAGTGCTTCATGACAAACAATAAAAAGATCACCGGCATGTGTCTTTGCATACCTTAGCTTGACATTTCAAAACATACATTGGGCACATCGATTGACTGGCATACATTCATGCGCACTTGCCATGGTTGCAACGCCACACAAGCCCCCTTGACATGCATGCCCCAGCACACAACGGGTGCGTGCATTGCTCACCCCACCCGGAGAGTGCAAGCATTGGTCACTCTCTCACCTTTACATGGGTACTGGGGAAAGCCGATGTTCTCAGAGTCTCCTGGGTCTCATCCGCGGGTCGTCTGCGCGGCACACTGAGAAGGAAGGCAGCCTGGTCCCACGTGCAGCGGTGGCTGTGATGCGATACCCATGTCCCACCGCCTGTGAATGCCCTCGCTGGGATACAGAAAGTCCAGCTCCACCACCTGCTTATAACGAGTACAGTACAGATGAGGGAGGGGGGAAATACAGGCAGAGGGGGAGGGCGGTGATGCAACAGCCCATGTGACACCACGGGAAGACAAGCCGTGGCCATGCTGTGGTGAATGCCCTTGCTGATGAATGGCTTAGACCTCTAGGCAGCAGGCACGAGCACATCCATCGTGACCACATGGAAGCTTCAGATGCTAAATTTCCGTTTTAAGGGATGTGCTTGGACTTGCTGCAACACGCGTCGGAACGCCCTCACACTGGACCTGACTGCACCGCACCTGGTCAGTGAAGCCGGCATTGCGGGACATAAACCACCCCCCAGCGGCTGCCAGCAGTGGCCATGGACGTCACGTAGAAGCCCTCTCGCCACTTCTTGTTGATCCACTTGAATGGGAAGCTGTCGCTGACCTTGTATGACTGCTGTGTATACGGTGTGCCTGGGGGGGGGTGTAGTGGGGGGGGCGGCAGTGGAAGAGACGCGGTGTCACTTGAAGGTAGAAGCCCTCGCGCCACTTGTTGTTGATCCACTTGAACGGAAAGCTGTCGCTGACCTTGTACCACTGCTGCGTGTATGGCATGCCTGGGAGGGGGTGGGAAGGAGGAAGGCGGCAAGGGAGAGAGAGGGGGCACTGTAGAGCACTGAAAGATGGAGCAAGTGGAAAGCACCTGCAAGAATTGAACATGAAAAAGAGATTGAGAGAGCAAGTGCGGGGGAGGGGAAAAACATGCTAAAAAGAAGGTAGGGCGATCAATGAATATGCCCTTTCACCTTTCACACCTCCGCGAGCCCAGCTTTTGCCATTCCCGTTCACCTTCCGCCGTCGCGTTCTGAGGCGCCTGAAAATTTGTCTTTTGCCATTGTCGTTCACTTCACCTTCCGCCGTCGTCGTGGGCTCACCTTTGGACATGACAACGAGGGAGTTGCCGTTGCTGGCGGCCCGCCACTGCTGTGATGTAGAAGTTCCTCTCCCACTGCTCCATGATCCACTCCTGATTGAATGAGGGGCGGGGGGAGGGAGGTGAGAAGACATTTCAAAGTGACGCCTTTTGAAGCGCCACAAACGGCGCTGCCACTGCTGTGATGCAAGTTCCTCTCCCACTGCTCCATGATTTACTCCTGAGGGATGACGGAGGGGAAGTAAGGAAAGGGGTGGGAAGCGGAGCGGCTTTATTAAGAGTACTAGGCGGGACAAGGGAATGGCTTGCAATGAAAAATGGTTTTCCTCCCAAAATGGTGCAGCAAGTCGCACCCAAACCTGGGCAGCAGGATTGGGCAGGAAGACCCACCCACCTCGCCTTGGGAAACGCACTCACCTTGGCCAGAGACAAAGCACTTACCTTGGGCAGGAACACGTGCGAGAGGTCGTAGACCTGCGCTGTGAAGTTGGTGCCCGCGTCCATGATGAGCGCCCAGAGGTTCTGACACGACGCCACGCTGCTGATGTGCAGCCCGTCCTCGTTGCCCTTCTCCACGTGCTGTGCCAGGCGCGAGTTCCGCTACATTGTAGTGGTACCTGCGTTACAGGCACACAGGACATACAGCGCACGGGGAAGTGTGACGTTGCGCATGAGGTGAGCATCAAATTACTGCTCATGTGCAACCCATCCTCCTTGCCCCTCTCCACGTGCTGCGCTAGACGCAAGTCCGCCACATTGTAATGGTACCTGACAACGTCGCCCAGGCGAGCAATACAGATGGTATGAGAGAGGGGGAGTGAGAGGTTGTGGCATGAAGAGGCCTCGATTGCTGCTAATGTGCAGCACGTGTCACTACCTGTGCCACACCGCACCTCTCTTTGACACTACCTGTGCCACACCGCACCTCTCTTTGACACTACCTGTGCCACACCGCACCTCTCTTTGACACTACCTGTGCCACACCGCACCTCTCTTTGACACTACCTGTGCCACACCGCACCTCTCCTTAACACTACCTTGTGCCCCGGGTACCTTACCCAGGAACCCAATCACCCACTTCTCTCTCTCCAACGCCACTGGAACCACACCTTTGCTTCATGGGCCGTCTCGCACTGTACACCGAAATCCACTGGGTGGCCGGCATGCCGAGGCGAATCTTCTTCCTCAGCTGATCCTCCTCCTGTGTGCCACGTGCGTACACCCTCCCTCTCTCTCACCCCCCCCTACCTCTGCTTCATAGGCCGTCTGGCGCTGTAAACAGAGATCCACTGGGTGGCCGGCATGCCGAGGCGGATCTTCTTCCTCAGCTGATCCTCCTCCTGTGTGCCACGTGCGTACACCCTCCTTCTCTCTCACCCCCCTACCTCTGCTTCATAGGCCGTCTGGCGCTGTAAACAGAGATCCACTGGGTGGCCGGCATGCCGAGGCGGATCTTCTTCCTCAGCTGATCCTCCTCCGCCTCCTCCTCGCCCCCCTCGCCCCGCCCCCTCTTCTGCCCCACCTGCACCTGCCACCACCGCACACGGATGTGCGCATGGGGGTCAATATGGTGATGAATGCATGGGGATGTGCGTATGGTATGGGGGCAAATATGGCGATGCATACACACGGGGATGCGCGCATGGGAATGTGCGCATGGGAATGTGCGCATGGGGATGTGCGCATGGGGATGTGCGCATGGTGATGTGCGCATGGGATGTGCGCATGGGGATGTGCGCATGGGATGTGCGCATGGGGATGTGCGCATGGGAATGTGCGCATAGGAATGTGCGCATGGGGATGCGCGCATGGGGATAACACACAAACATATACAGATACGGATAACACAGCTCTGCATTTCTCCGTGTTGACGGGTTAAAAACCACACACCGCACCACACCGCACTACACCCCAGTGCAGGACCGCCGTCACCCACCTTGAGAGAGCGTGCTCCCTCTGTGTTGAGAGGCAGTAGTGCTGGGTTGGGGAGAGGATGGGTCGAACATGGCGGCGCACTTGGCGTAGTCGGGGCGCTCATCGAACTTGAGGCTGACGACGTACTCGAGGAAGAGCTTGAAGGGCGGCGGACAGAAGCAGCAGAGCATCTCGGGCGACGTGCTCATCTTCTTCTTGCACACTAAGAAACCCTTGTTGTCGCCCTGATGGGAGATGGGTGAGGAGAAGGGCGAGAGGCGGAGAGGGTGAGAGAGGGAGAGAGCAAACGGAACAGGAGCAGAGGGGCAATTCCGGTGAGGTGGTCACCTTCTACCTCTGCACCTGAGAATTCACCCTGACACATGCCACCCGAGAATTCACCTGACACATGCCACCCGAGAATTCACCTGACAGCCATGCCACCTGAGAATTCACCTGACAGCTATGCCATCAGAAATTCACCTGAAACCCCTGCCACCTGAAAACTCACCTGGTAGCCCTGCCAGGGCAGTCTTCCTCGCAGCAGGAAGACGAGTGTGTATGCCCAGTGACTCTAAGTCATCCCTGCGACTGCCCGTGCGCCCCAGGTGTGCGTGGACGCATGCATAGCGCACCGTGCCCCTGTGAAAGAGGAAGAAGAAGCACATAGCACAGGGTGCGGGTGATGGGGACAGCAGGAAGGCGAGTGTGCATGCCAGTGATTCCAGCTCGTCCCTGCGACTGCCCGTGCGCCCCTGCACCCCGCATAGTGCACCGTGCCCCTGTGGAGGAAGGGGGAGCAAGGAAACTGTGTTCATTGTGGTGCATGCATGCATGGGGTTTCAGCGCCTCTACGCCCCATATGCGTGTGCAAACCCACGTAGCGCAGGTGGCTGTTGCGGACTTTGACTATACACCAAGGAACAATGTCCGGCTACCTGGCCTGGCCCACCTGACCATCTCTGGCGATTCACCTGAGAACGTCTGACAATGCACTGGCAATCCGCCTTAAACGGCCTGGCAAATCACCTGAAGAGGTCCTTTCACCTGAAGATGTCTGGTCGTTGGTCATACTCCACGTGCTGCCCCGTGTTGCTGTCCCTCCACCTCGTTGCTGCGCCATGCACGGACGGTGGGAGCAGGAGAGAAGAAGGGGTGGGGAAGGAGAACAATTGGAGAAGAGAGAGAAGGCAGGGTGCGGAAAGTTTTTATTTTAGAATTCTTTACAGAATCGAACTCCATTGGGGTGCCCCCACATCCTGCAACCCCCACTCCTTTTCTTTTCTTTGTTTGAGTAAAAACAATGTCATAATGGTCAGTTAATTCACTGTCTCACCTAAACCCAGGTCAACCAGGTACAGCTTCTTTTCCTCGGAAGTCCCGGGCTGCCCGAGAAGAAAGTTCTCCGGCTTCACGTCTCCATGCACGTAGCTGGTGGAAGAAAAACGGCAGTTTGACAAAATAATGGGAGGGGGAGGGCGAAGGTGCACAGTGCAGGGCTTTCAGGCGTCTCAAAGAAGAGAGGCAGAAGACGCCCTCTCTCGTTCTCAAGGAAGAGAGGCGAGGCAGAGAACGGAGAGAGGGCGTTGAGACGTGTGAAAGGCGCAAGGACGCGCAGAGACGGGAGAGGGAGGGAGTGATGGGGCCCAGAGAGGGGACGAGGGCCTGGGAGAACGAGTGACTGCATTCACCCCTCGCTATTGTCACACTCACTCACCCTCGAAATTGTCACAGTCACCCTCGCTACTGTCACACCTCACTCACCCTCGCAATTGTCACACTCGCCCTCAATACTGTCACACTGACTCACCCTCGCTCGTGCACCTTCTCCAATATTGAGAGGGCCTCCGCTGCTATGCACGCCCACCATCTCCGTTGACATGCTGGTGGGGGGGGGAGGGGGGGAAGGAGGGCGAAAGGGGGAGAGGAAAAGGGGAAAGGGGGGAGGGGGAAGAGGATAAAGCCTCCGTTGCAACGCACGCCACCATCTCCGTTGACATGCTGGGGGGGGGAGGGGGGGGGAGGGGTGGGAAGGAAGGGGGAGCGGGGGAGGTTGGGTTGGAAGGGGGAGGTTGGAAGGGGGGAGGGGGGGAGTGGATGCTAAGTTGCAATATACGCTTATAGCGTATATACGCTTATCGTATATACGCTAGCGTATGCACGCTATCCGCTTGGGGGTCGACTTTGGAATACGCTTTTCCGGGCAGGGAAAAAACTTCCCGGGCAGGGCAAAAAAACCACTTGTGGATGTTTGGGGGGGGGGGGGGGGAGGGGTGAGGCATTTTGGGGGTTTTGCAACACAGTTTTTTTTTTCCGCATGATAAGATTACGACACCATACACACACACATGTCACTAATACTCTCCTGCCACCCTAGTTCTAAGCGTACTCGTCCTCCAGGACGTCATCCTCGCCTTCCTCCTCCTCCACCTCCGTCTCATCCAACCCGTTGTACCCCTCGGGAATAGGAGGCTCGTCCCCAATCCCTGGCACAACGTTCGGCATTACATCTGCACGCGAGTGCCAGTTGCGCACAACATTCCAGTTGTGCGCAACAAAAACCAGGTCCTGGCACTTTGCAGATCCGAGGCGGTTCCGGCGGGCTGTGTGGACAGCATCCCAAGTTCCCCACCCACGCTCACAAGGGGATGCCGATACAGCTGATGATAGCACCCTCACGGCGAAGCGCATCAGGTGAGGTGCATCTGTGTCGTTCCACTGCCACTTCTTCACCATGCTGTACTTACCCGCCTTCACCTTCTCCCTCTGTGCAAGAGCCTCCGGCATCCCAAAACTGCCTTTCATGTCCAAGAAAGCCCTCAGCCCGTCACCCAAGGCAAGCAAGTAATCTGGACCCTCATCCTCCCCTTCCCGTCGTGGCCGATGAGGAACTCCACGTGCTGGTTGATTAACGCCTTGAAAACCCGGGTGCATTCGGCGTCGCTGCCAAAGATATCCTCCTCCTGGTTGGCGGGGTTGAGGATTCGGCCAGCAACGTGCATGGCGCAGGCGAGGTTGTTATCCCAACGGTCCTTGATGATGCCTGCGGATCTTTTCCTTGTCCGCGCTACTCAGCTGCTGCTCATCCTCGTCCAGGATGTTGTTGACATCCTCGGTAAGCTGCAGCATTACATCGTAGAGCCGGCCCATCATCCCATTAGCATCTGCGTCAGTCTGCCGCATCGCCTTGTAGGGCAGTTGCATCAGCTTGCAGAAGAATTCTGCCGTCCGCCACCATGCGTCATCGAGGACCCGTGCAGCAAAGGCCTCGGCAGTTTCCTTCCGCGACCCCGAGGCCCAACTCCTTCCACCTGTCGGAAAGCACCATCGCGTTGAGGGTGCTACGCAACCGACAAAGGCGGGACACAGCAATGTATTGTGTCCCGAACCGTGTTCCCGCTGGCTTCAGCGGCTGCAGCACCTTCCCCTCCACCAACTCCTTGGTTCTCAGATAAGCGCGCGTCCAATGATGTGTTGCGAACGAACGAACTCATCTCCCCACTCCGATCCACCACCCCTTTTGCCCACCCATCTTTCCCACGTCCTCCAGGAGGAGATCCATCACATGCGTGTCACAAGGGACCTGTTGAATGTGGGGCCACTTGGCAATCAGCTCCTGGACCAGCCACGGCATAGTTCGACCCCCCATCCATACAAAACGCGACGACATTTTGTGGTCCTACCTCCACCACCACCGGCTGCAGAATCCCCGCTATGTATCCCCCGTCTTCCGCTCCATACCGCAGTCGATCGCCTCCCTGAAGACGGCGCCGTAGTCGTTGATCAAAAGCACGTTCGCTTGCGCCCTCCCACATTTGTCCGTCATCATGTCGGACGCAATTGTTACCCCGTCTTCCTTCCAGCTCGATTTAATCCCCACCAGCCCCTGCTCAATCCCTTTGCGGACAGCGACCAGTCCAGCCCCGCCAATGAAAGTCCTCCTGGGGGGGACGTAGCCGTTTGCCGGCGCGGTTGACGAGCAGCATGGCGTTGATGAACAGCGGGTGGTCCATGGTGACCTCCGGGATTTTGCAGGCCGCAAACATCAGCGCAAGGCCCTCGTGAGCATCCCGCTTAGCCGCAGAGGCATCTCCCTCCAAGTAGTCGGTTTATGCGCCGCTTCCCTCCGCCAGCCTGTACTGCCGCAACAGCAGCAGATGTTGCTCGGCGCTTTCCTCGATCGCGGCAGCCATCTTTTCGTATTTTGTGCGCATCTCGTTGCGTACGTCTTGCGGTGCCTCCTTGCAAAGCGTCACCTCGCGACGCTTCATTCCCTTCCACGGGCTCAGGTGCTAGCGCGCAACGAATGGCTGCACCGGTGAAAAATTGAAGCAGTACTTACACTCGTACTGCTGTGCTTTGCCTTCTTCCCACACAATGAGGCTGAAATGTTTGAAGACAGCGTGTTCCGGCATGTCAGGAAGGTAATCCCTACCCTCAGGTCGAACAATCCGAGAACTCTGCACTGTCTGAACGGATGGCGGTGTGCATGGCGGGCTAGACATTACGAAAGAGACGGGGAACTGATGAATTGCGTAGTTGCTTGCAACCCACTAAGTAGCACAACGAGAGAAGGGAACATTGGACATTTGGTTGGAATGAGTAGATGGAGGGTATTCAATGCGGTAACAAAACAGAGCGCACAAAGTGTGTACGTGAAAACACGACTTGACAAATTGACACAACCAATCTCGACTACGTGGGTTGAACCCACCGTCCACGATTGGACAAGTCACGTATGTGCAATTCGCGTTCTGCAAAAAGCCACGTCCACAATTGGACAAGTCACGTTCGTGCAATTCGCCTTCGGCGAAATGCACGTCGTGAATTCCGCATTTTTCCGTATGTTCGATTTTTTTTTCACCCGGGCTGCCCAAAACAAATTTGTCCGAGCGTATAGCGGATTCGCTTGCGTATAGCGTGTTGCGTGTATACGCAAGCGGATATCCGCTAACGCAAACAGGCCTGAGCGTTTATTGCAACTTAGAGTGGATGGATGAGGTGGTGTGGTAGCACCTGCGGCAATGCACGCCCTCATCTCCGTTGTCATGCTGGGGGGGGTGAACGGACGGAATGGGGGAGGGGAGAGGGAAGGGCATAGGCATGGATAAGGCGACGACAGAATAGAAGGCTGCTGAACCATCTCCATTCACGTGCTGCTGAACCACACCACACCACACCACAGCACAGCACAGCACAGCACAGCACACCACACCACACGTGGCACAGCAGCATAGTCAGCACTCACGCTTGGTTGTGGTTGTTCCACACGTCCCACAGGCTCGGCCCCAGCAGATCCATGACCTGCCATGCACACACGAGCACACACACACAGAGCAGCGGATGGAGGAGATACGAGACAATGTGCTTACGACTCCTCAATCACTGGCCTGGACCCAAACAAATGGCATGACATACTGGCCACGGTTGGGACACACACGCATGGGAGATAACCATGAGGAGAGACATGCCACCCATGCCCCTTTCCATGGTATTTGGCACACACCACCCCACCCATGATGCAATGATCCTCCCATTTTCCCTTCCAATTCTTTCCCTTCCCTTCCCCCTCCCCTTTTTTTTTTTTTTGGGAGCCTTTTGGGTGACACAAGCAGCGCAGCAGCAGTAGCCCTGAGTGCGTGCGTACCATGATGTTAGTAGTCGCCCTGCCGCCCCTTGAAGTGCACTCTGGGCACGCCATGGCTGCCGCCCAACGTCCTGCACCACACAGGCACGTGAGATTGGAGAGGGGGTGGACGCGAGCGCAGAAGAAGGGCGGGAAACCGTTGTGGAGGGAGAGGAGGGGAGACGGGAGGGGAGGGGAGAGTTGGGGAGGGGAGGAGGGGAGTTGCGGAAAGCAAGGGTAGAATGGGGTAAGTCAACGCGGGCACAAGAAAGGGGATAGCTTGATGACAAATAGCTCAATGTGACACGCACTATGGTGGCTTCTGTGAGGGGCATGTGTTTCAGCTGGACGAGTCTTGTGACCTATACCCTCTCACACTAGATAGCAACAAGGAGGCTATATTTTATCTCATGCTGGATCGTCAGACAAACAAGTGCTGCAGTGCAGCGCACTCGTACATACAAGTTAGTGCAAGTACTACGATCGAGTACAAGCTAGTGCTACAGGGCAGCACACGCACGTGTACACCTGCCACTCGTAGGGGGGGCCGTAGTTGCACCCCTTGCTGCCTCCGATGCTCCAGCTTCAATGCCACCTGCACCCCACCACCACCACGGCCATCACGGCCCACCATGCAAGTCAGAACGGCAAGCACAGCCCAGCAAGCACGCGCATCCCTGGAAGGAACATGTTTTGACATGTTTCCAGAAACTCAACCACAGCAAGCAGTCATCTTCCCGCCCACGCGAACCGACAATGCAACAACGCATTACACCATTCCTGCACACCCATCGCTCATCCCCCCCTCCCCGCACACCCGCCGCTCAACAAGCTCCTCTGAAATCGGTTTTCCATACTCAGATGCCGTTTTACAGTCGTCACTCACACTTCCACTGCGTTTAACCAGGGAGTTTTGGATGAAAATCGGAACAAAGCCGTTCATCTCAATCGCCGCCACTCATCTCAATCGCCGCCGCTCATCTCAATCGCCGCCGCTCATCTCAATCGCCGCCGCTCATCTCAATCGTTCATCTCACCTCCACGGCGTTGGGCCCAACCCGCTCGTTGCCGCCGCTGACGCGCCTTCCCACGTACACCTGCCCGAATCCGCCTTCCCCAGCTTCCGCTCCATCTTATAAACCGGCGACCCGCCCACTTGCACCTGCCGAGAAAAAAGGCACATCTTCAATATCCGAGGGGACATAGCACGCGACTCTACAGCTTCCGCTCCATCTTATAAACGGGCGACCCGCCCACTTGCACCTGCGGGGGAAAAGAAGTGTTACGAATTATTACACAGAGCACTGAGCGGACAATAGCGTCGACTCTAAAGAGTCCGCGCCATCTTATAAACGGGCGACCCGCCCACTTGCACCTGTCAGGAAAAGGGGTATCGTGATAACTTCTGAGGCGCTTCAAAAGTCGAAAACGGGCGCATTGAGATATACTGACGGCAGCGGCGACCCTAAAACGTCCGCTCGGTCTTATGCACCGGCGACGGGCCCACTTGTGTCGGGAAAAAGCGACCGTAAGACGCACGGTGCAGAGAGAAGCCCGCTACACTATCGTGACTCATAGTGTACCTAGAAGGATAAGTTACGAATTTGGAACACATATGGAATTGAATTTGCCGTACTCTTTCGGGCAGCGCCGTGGAGCCCGCATCCGCGTCCGCCGCTCCTGCCGCTGCCGCTGGCGCTCTGTCTCTATCCGCGCTTTTCCGCTCGCTCTCTTCCTCCATGACCGCGCTCGAAGCTCCTTCAGGACGATCGAAGTAGTGAAGCTTTGAACTCGAGTTTTAATGTTTGATGTTGTTTTTTTTAGGACGAAGCAAGTATTAGTGCGTAAGAAACGTGGCTTTAATTCGGAACAGGGGTAGGAACAACCCTAGCTCGCACAAGAACTGGTGCCCGCGGACAAGAAACTAACAAGCCGCTTAAATCAGATGCCCCAATAATTTTCCTGATTTAGCACGCCGAACCTCAAACAGACTGGATGTAGACGACTAAATAAAAGGCTGCAGAACTAGCTGATTTCAAGCGCGACGGGGTTGCATGACACAATAGAGGGAGCTAACCTAAAACGTACATCTGCTTGAGCGCAGATACTTGACAAAGGAGGAGCACGGGAGGAGCTGGAGTCGAGATGGGAAGTTCAGTATGGAGCTCAAGTCGCCAGCGGTCCAGCTTACACCTGCACGGCAATCCCGAGGTAGAATTGCCGCGCGGTTTGGGCTGATGGCGCAAGTAGTGTTGGGGGGAACTGGGGGCAGCCGGGGAAAACTTTCTTGCCAGCGCCGCGTGCCGGG